CCCCCCTTGTGTGTGAGCTTGAACACATTTGTGGCAACTATGACAGTCAGTTTCAGAAAAATATGTTGCCGCAGAAGAGAACACATTTGTGGCAACTGCCACATTTGTTCATGTAGTTTAGTTGCCACACACCTGTTCACGTTCGGTCATACTGTCATAGTTGCCACATTCAGAAAGCATATTTTTTCTGGTTACTTATTGTACAAGTTCAGCAGAATTAAAATTTGCCACATGGGAAGAGCATGCGTGTGGAAACTGCCACAGGAGTTCCAATGAAATTAGTTGCCACCTCGTTTTGGGGTGGCAACTATGACAGTCATTTTCGGAAATCTGTTGCCACATGGGAGAACACGTTTGTGGCAACTACCACGTTTCTTCAGGTAGTTTAGTTGCCGCACATTTGTTCACGTTCAATCATACTGCCAATTTCGCCACAGTCTGCAGTTTCAACCCCAAAACTAGACTAGGTCTAGGTTTCAATGGCAACTGCTTCAACCTCAAAATCACCCTTATAATTCTCGCGCGAAATGGCTGCAACCCCAAATTTCGAACCAATCCGCACCAAAATAACCCGGCGGACAACTCTTAAAATCCAAATGCAAGACTAATGCGTTGCCTACGAGCAGGAATAGCCTCACCGACGATGTCGCCGCAGCGGCGGCGACGAAACTGCCCACTCCCACGAAGCAACGGCAGGCACACAACTATGGCGCACCGCCGCAGCGGCGGGAACGCCGGCGCACCGCCGAATCGCCGGAATTTCTAGGAATGGATCTAGAAATCGAACAGGAAGGAAAGAGGGGAACAAAATCAGGGAGGGTATGCGATAGATGAAGCGAGCATTACCTTCGACCCGCACGCGTTCCGGCAACGCCGCTCCGCTCCGACGAGCACCACCAACGCCCGCGAACACCGTCGACTGTCCCGCCTCCGCCGTCGCCTTCTCCCCTCGCCTTCTCCTCCGGTGGACTGTAACGCGAGTGGGTTGTGCCAGTAAATGCGACGCGGGGGAGAGTGAATGGAACCGTGGCGTGCGGGCGCATGGCAGTTCCACCGCACGCCTCTCAGTGGCAACCGCTGACCGCGGGATGGCAACTACCGTGCGGGCGAACCCACTCGCACACCGCACACTAGAATCGTCCAACGTGGCGCCGAAAACCAGCCCTTTTGCTCCAAGATTCATGCAAAACGAAACCAACGGCGATGCTTGCGTGTGGACGGAGTGGTGAACGCCCACACGTGTGGGCGTTAACATTTCCGTAAAAAGAACCCCACACCTCTTTTTTTTAAACAGAGCACGCAAAAGAAACGGGTGTCTTCAACTTCTTCCTCGCTCCAAGCCATCGCCACGCCGCCCTCTCTGAAGATCTTCTACTTCAGCGGCCATGGACAAATCAAGAGCGGCCATGGACAAACCAAGAGACAGCAAATTAAAGAACAATAGTGAATACACTGATCGTCATTCTCCTTGCCGTAGACTATGCGGTGGAGGCCACGCCGGGGAGTGACCCTCGCACGACGACTATGTTGATGCTTGGCACCGCGAGGCCATGGAACGTTGTCATGGTGGAGAGGCTACAGAGAAACACCTGGGCGCGGAGGGACGGCGATACACGAGGAGTCAGTGGCACAGAAGGCTTGGAGCTAGCTGTGGACATGACGAACACCATCTTGGCCACCCGTTTACAATTCATGGTCAGCTCCTGGTTCCCCTTGACAATGATATGGATGAAGGTCAGGCCATTCAGTCCACGCGCACTTGCGCAGCTTCCGACCAGCAACGCCATGTGGAGAGCATGACGTGTTACCTCCACGCGCAGCTCCACCATGACTCGACGGTGATGAGTCGGCTACTTTGTGTTGCTGAGCGTCCTCCACGGAAGCTACAAACCATGTCTATGGCCATGCAGTGCCGTTCAAGCCATGTCTATGGCCATGCAGTGCCGTTTAGTTTGTGCATGCGGATGATAATGTGCATGGCCGATCAGTTGCATGCGACGCCGAGCTAGCTAAAACTCATTTTACATCGCTACATACGGCGCTAGCCAAACGGGTCGCTGTATTATCAAAACTCCAAAATAGTCTGATATGTCAAAACCATGGTATCTTGCACCCATGGGTTAAAATACTGCAGTTTTTCAATACTTTGTTTTTTGTTGTACTTTGCTATCAAACACAGCCTTATAGTTATTTTTCATTATTACAAAGTCTTAAGAAGACTGAGGTGTGTAGACCAACTATTAGCTGACATAATTATATTATAGCGGTCCGTAAGTGTTTACAGTGACAAAAGTTGCTCTTTTACGCTGTGTTGTAGCATTTTGTGCTATTAAAGAAAGAGGATTGAAGTTTCACTTGCCCTCGCTACCCCCTTATGGCCTAGGTGAGATGCATGTTTACCGAAAAAGGCTTTCGCCCCGCTTTATAAATAAAGTACCGATCAACAAGCACCCAGTACAAACACACGCCACCACTACACACGCACACACCCAAGGCAGGATACAAAGGCACTGTGCGCAGCAACACCATCCCTAGCACTAGCACCACGAAGAGATGAAGCTACATATGATGATCCATGAGCTCCAAGGCGGCGCCTTCAGGAAGGGTACGACACCGGCGTGCCGCCACCGCCTGATCCAAGGATCAGAGTTTCCCCTGGGGCTGCATGATGGGTAATGAAAGCCGCGACGATGCCTTCAAGAAGGGAACGATCTTTGCCACCGCCGGTCCGTCCGAAGATAGAACAGGTTTTCACCTCGGCCAACACTCACCGTCACCGAACGCCACACCCCGGCTACCACGCCGCCCACACGGCCATGGCGAGCGGGCAGCACTAAGCAACGGGCTCTGCCCAAGAGCACCGCACTACCACCACCAGGGCCGCCGCCCCGGCATCCAAGACCTTGACACCACCTCACCCGAGACCCGCCGCTACCCCAACCAAAGAGACGAGCGGAAAGGTCCCACCTTTCGCACCCCTGGGCGACCCCCATCGTCGAGACTCGATAGGCCGGCCAGAACTGGCATCCATCAGCCCGTCCTGCAGACCCGAGCGCGAGATGAACTCGATCCTGCAGCACCGTGAGGGGGACGAGGTCAGTCCTGCTGCACCGTGCGCGAGACGAGCTCGGTCCTGCCGCACCGGACGCGAGACGAGCGGTGGACCGCGGCTGGGAGAGGGCCAGCCCTTCGATAGAAGTAGGCCCAGACGACGACGAGATGGGGCGAAGGTCAAGAAGATCCGAACGCGGACGAGCCGATGCCGGAGAAGTCGGCCGTCGCCGCAGTCAGAGCCGTCGAGCCACCATGAAGCCGCCACGGCACGGAGAGGTCACCACCAACGCCGGACCTCCCCGCGCCGCCGCCCATGGCCAGAACAACGGCCACGCCCGACCGGTGCCCACCCGCGTCGTCCGGCAAGCTCCAAGCGTCGGAGCAGCCGGGCACGCACCACCGAAGCCACACGCCGGAGCGCCAGCCACCACCAACACAAGCTCACTGGACTTAGTGCTATCGTGTTTGCTATTCTTCAGGTGCCTGAATTTTTTTTGGTCTATTCCGTGTTTGCTATTCTTTGGGCGCCTGAATTTTTTTTGGGGTCTATTTCGTGCACGCGCAGAGCACCGAGCCTGAGATGGGGACACCATGACAAGTTTCACTTGCCATCAATAGAACGAGATGGATGGTTTTTTACTGTTGCCTGACCATTCTAAATAGTACATGTAGATTTTTAGTTTCTTCTGTTGTACATGAACCTTGCTTCTCTGTTTGCTGTCTGTTCATTGTTACAGAAACAGTGAGCCGGAGATGATGGCGCGCGGTCGACTGAAACTGTTTTTTTTTCAATCGCCTGACAGATAGTCACCCCCTATAGCATTATATATGCATGCTCGGGCATCTCTCTCAACTGGTACTTGTTTATGTATCTTAGCTGTCTGTGTACATATTGATCCTGCAGCCTAGCTAGCCTTCTCTTAGTTGATTCCTTTTCATGGTTAACGACTGCCAAAGTTGCTCTTTTTTTGTTGTGTTGCAGACTTGCAGTGTTGTGCTGTTAAAGCAAGAGGATTTTAGTTGCACTTGCAATCAATACCAGCCCCCCAAGGCCTAGGTGAGATGGATGGTTGATTTCCTTACCACTATATATGACCATTCTACAGAGTACATGATGATTTTTAGCTTTGAGTTCTGTTGTACATGAGCCTTGTTTCTCTGTTTGCTGTTTGTTCATTGTTCGCCAGAAACAGTGAGCTTGCGTTCAGCTAATTAATTACTTCAGCATGACTCCACTAATACTGATATCTTAGCTATAACTCCCTAGTCGTCCAGTGTCGCTATAACTTAATCAATGGATATGTAGGCCAGATCCCTGTTTTGAATAGAGACATTCAGCACTACACATGACACTTTCAGTGGATGCTGTTACTGTCCAGGCGTAAGTTATGGACATGTAAAGTTAGCTGTTACAGGCCATGTCAATCTAACTTCAAACAACATGTACACATTTTTTTTGCAAGGAACAACATGTACACTTCATTGAAGGTCGTTACTGTCAGGCGTAAACTAAGTGCCATGCTTAACGGCTAATTATTTTTGACAGGATGTTTACACGGCTAGTTTATTATTGGGCACTTTCTGCGGAGCAGGATGGTGCATTAATCAAATCATAGTGTCAGCACTAATTAAGGAGAAAAGTAGGAACCGTGGCCGACCTGATCTTGTCTTCACGTGACGGCGACCCAACCACCCTGTTTCTCCGGCGAGTCGTCGGCCGCCGAATAGAAAATGGCATTCATCCTGCATCCTCTGTGTTTCCCCACGCTACTTTAGCCTGCCTCACACCAGATCTGGAGCGTAGATCAGAGAGCTCCAAGCCGCCGCTCACCTCCCCCCTCGCACTCACTTCGCCGGCGGGGTGCTCACCCCTGCAGCTGCAGGGTCTATGTGCCTAGAGACCCTGCAGCCTGAGCCTAGCCAGCCTTCTCTCCCCAACGCTTGCAATGGCGGATCCTGTTAGCATTACTGCTGCTGTAGGATGGGGCGTAACCGCAGTAGGTTGGCTCGCCTCACCCATCATTCCTAGGCTCCTCAACAAAGCTTTCACCGTCCTGGATTTCAACGCGACGGAGAAGCTGAAGATAATTGATATGCAAGTTTTACAACTGCAGCGGGTGATGGAAGTAGTCGACGAGAGCACCTACAGGGCTCGCTTGGAGCCACTGTTAGACAAGCTTAGGTCTGCTCTCTACGAGGCCGAAGACATCTTGGATGATGTTGAGTATCAGGGCCTCAAGAAGCAGACCCGAGATGCCAAGTCATCCGGCAGTAAGATGGATTCACTGAAGAAGACTCTTTGGTCTGCCATGCCAAGATATCCCTCCTAAAAGATAAGGTATTTCCCTGCCTTCATGCTTGGATGTGTTCATCTTCTTGTGCCACATAGATATGTATGACTTGAATGTTGAAATGCATTCTCACTTGTTTGCCACAATTATGTAAACTAGTAGATGTTAAGATCTTGAAATGCAGTAAGAGGTACGACACAGGTTGTTAGGAAAAAATAGGATTAGTTTCTTTGGAGCCAAATGAATCAAGAGTTTATATAGTATTTTCTTAAAAGTAATTAGCCCAATTACCAGGAATAACCAAAGTTTGTCCCAGTCTTCCACTAGCTAGCACCGTCTTCCACAAGTTCCTTCTTTTTACTAAAGGATTTCTAAAAAGTAAAAAAACTCTCCTTCATACTGTAGTGTAGAGTAGCACCGCCATCATCTACATGACCATTTGTTCCTTCTTTTACTAAATCTTTCTTTCCTCTCCCCAAGCCCAATCTAGAGGAGCATGAGAAGCAGCAGCGGTATGAAGGAATCGGTTTATTACTTTATTTGCAAAAATCAGTTAGATATATCCAGTCCGAGTAGTACTTGTTTGTCCATGTACGTGTGTGGGCTTGTGCTACTCCTGTTAGAAATGCTTTGCCTGTATGGTATTACGAGTTGGTGTTAAGTAGAATTTGAGTGATACATGCCTCTAATTTCAAGTTGCTGCGTTCGTGTGCTAACAAGTGCTATTTGGTTTTTGCAGGAGAGTGGTATGTCAAAAGTGGAATTGAAGAAGAGCCTAGAGAAGATAGAAAGTGCTATAAATGATGCGTGTGAAGTTTTGAAACAACTGAACTTGCCAGGTGGACGTGACGATGATGGGAGGCGAGCTGTTGCTACCAATTCACGCCGTGCAGTCACTACTGCAGCCCCTCCGATAGGAGTAATTGGTCGGGATAAGGATCGTGACAAGATAATCGCAATGCTTCATGAGAAGGAAGACCTTTGTCAAGCAAATACTGCCGGTGATACATGTTATTCTGTAATTGGCATTCATGGCATGGCTGGGGCAGGGAAATCAACACTTGCACAGTGTGTTTATGATCATGAGAAGAAGTGTAAGCAAGAAAAATTGGAAGGCCATTTCGATATTGTCATGTGGATTCATGTTTCTCAGCAATTTGGTTTGGATTCCATTTTTAGGGAGATGTTTGAGGGGGCTACAGGGAAAGCATGCGATAACTTCAATAGTCGTAATGTCTTGAAGGAAAAACTGGAGGATGAACTGCGTGGGAAACAGAGTTTGCTGGTACTGGATGATGTCTGGTACAACAGTAGGAATTCAGGAGACCGTGAAGAACTACAAATGTTAATTTCTCCGCTGAATGTTGGAAAGGCAGGAAGTAGAATCTTGGTGACCAGTCGAACTGAAGCTGGATTAGTAGCTCTGGGTGCTGTAAAAGAGAGATGTATTCCAATATCTGACCTGGATGATAAAGTGTTCCTTGAAATGTTCATGCGTTATGCACTTCGAGATGCAAGGGTAAGTGACCACGATCGGTTAATACTTGAAATGATTGGAGCGGACATTGCGAGAAAGCTGAAGAGATCACCACTAGCAGCCAGAACAGTGGGTTCACGTCTCCGTGAGATACAAACTGTCCAGTTTTGGAGGAGTCAGAAAGATAGGGATCTTATGAACGACACAATGGGAGCTCTGTGGTGGAGCTACCAGTATCTTGATGAGCAGGTCAGGCGATGCTTCGCTTACTGCAGTATTTTTCCCAGGGGATATCGTTTGAACCGTGATGAGTTAGTTAAGTTGTGGGAAGGCTGAAGAGGAAATGGAAGATGTTGCTCAGTATTACTTTGATGTATTGTTGTCATCCTCATTTCTGCAATTCGGAGGGAAAGAAAAGCAATATGCAACTAGACGTGAGGTTGATTACTTTACAATTCATGACCTGCTGTGTGATTTAGCAGAGGAGGTTGCCGGAAGAGATTGCTTCAGGATCGAAAACGGCTTCACAGGAGAAGTTCCTGAAGATGTCCGCTATCTTTTTGTTCGGACTTATAATAAAGAGATGCTTACTGAGAAGATATCTAAATTGCAAAATTTACGCACCCTCATCATTGATGAAATGATAAGGGTTCCATCAAACGAGTGCAAAGTCTTTGAGAGTATTTTCACTATGTTTACGGGGCTGCGGAAATTGCGGGTACTGAATTTACAACTTGGTCTTGATATGTTCTCATTCCCAGATTCAATTGGTCAGCTGAAGCATCTGCGTTATTTTGCTTTTCGGGTGTCTCCACTTACGAAGCTAACTTTACCGACAGTTTTTACCAAGCTTTACCACATTCGGGTGGTAGATTTTGGTTTGTGTGGCAGTTTGACGTCTTCTAGTGGTGAAGATATGATGAACCTAGTCAACTTGCGCCATGTAATAAGCATTGCAGATATGGAATTTCCAAACGTTGGCAGATTGATATGGCTCCACACGCTACCATTCTTCACAATAAGGAGGGAACGAGGGTATGAGCCACATCAGCTGAAACACCTAAACAAGCTTGAAGGCAAATTATTGATCAATGGTCTTGAGAATGTTGAGAGCAAGGAGGAGGCTCTTGAAGTCAATCTTGCTGGCAAGGAAAAACTCACAAAACTGGTACTCGAATGGGATGATGATAGCTGCAGTCCAGAAGTTCAAGCAGAGGTTCTTGAGGGTCTTTGCCCATCAAAGTATCTTGAAAGATTAGATATTAGCAAGTACCATGGTACGAGGTTACCGAAATGGATGATGGGTAAGCATAACGGCGGGCCAACGAATTTGCAAGAACTTACATTCAGAAGATGGATCCAACTAGGACCTGCTCCTGACCTTGGGGCTTTCATTCATCTTCAGTCGCTAATTCTTTCTAACTGCAACTGGAATGCCTTGTCAGGCAACATGGAGCACCTCACATCGCAAGACACTGGAGATCGAGTCATGCAAGAATATAGGGTCGCTTCCAACACTGCCCAAGTCTCTTGAGCAGTTTAAAGTCATGGGCTGCAACTGGGATGCCTTACCAGGCAATATGGAGCACCTCACAGCGCTCAAGCAACTGGATATAAATTCATGCAAGAATATACTGTCGCTTCCAACACTGCCCAAGTCTCTTGAGGAGTTTAACGTCAGGAACTGCAGCAGGGATGCCTTACGAGGAAATATGGAGCACCTCACATCGCTCAAGAAATTTGAGATCAGGTTATGCAAGAATATGCGGTCGCTCCCAACACTGCCCAAGTCTCTTGACGAGTTTAGAGTCATGTACTGCAGCTTCAATGCCTTGCCAGGCAATATTGAGCACATCACATCACTCAGGAGACTGGATATACAGTCATGCGAGAATATGCGGTTGCTTCCAACACTTCCAAAGTCTCTTGAGGAATTTATCATCTTTAACTGCAGCTTGGATACCTTACCAGGCAATATGGAACATCTCACTGCACTCAAGAAATTGAGTATCAGTATCTGCAAGAATATACTGTTGCTTCCAACACTGCCCAAGTCTCTTGAGGAGTTTGTCGTTACAGACTGCAGCTGTAATTCCTTACCAGGCAATATGGAACACCTCACATCACTCAAGAAGCTGTATATACACTCATTCAAGTATATGCAGCCGCTTCCAACACTGCCCAAGTCTCTTGAGGAGTTCAGCATTGTACACTGCAGCTTGAATGCCTTACCAGGCAATATTGAGCACCTCACATCACTCAAGAAGCTATATATACAGTCATGCAAGAATATGCGGTCGCTTCCAAAACTTCCCAAGTCTCTTAAGGAGATTACAGTCAATTACTGCAGTGACGAGTTCACACAATCTTGTGTAACGACTGATGATCCAAACTGGCAGAAGATTGAGCACATTCCAAAGAAAACAATTAAATTCTATAGTGAAAAAGGTCCGTAGAGAAGGTATGTAACGACTGATGATCCAATCTTGTGTAACGACTGATGATCCAATCTTGTGTAACGACTGATGTCTTCATTTTCCATTGTTTGTGTTCAATAAATGTTACTGCAACTATTAGCCGTTAAGATTGTTGGTATCTTTCTGATTTGGCTGCTAACTGTCAGCCGTGTGCCCTTTGAATGAGGATGTGAGATGAAGTCGAAGTGAAGCCGTCAGACTCTTAGTAAATCTACAGGCCCTCTTACTGGGTAACCTGTTCGTTGGGTTATGCCTACTTGGGTTTGTTGAGTCTTGCATGTTTACGCCTGAGGTGGTGCTATGTCTCCATGCATTCATGAACAATGGGTTCATTAGTCGTTTACTCCTACTCCCTCCGTTCCTAAATATAAGTCTTTCTAGAGATTCCAACAAGTGACTACATACGGAGCAAAATGAGTGAATCTACACTCTAAAATATGTCTACATGCATCCATATGTTGTAGTCTATTTGAAATGTCTAAAAAGACTTATATTTAGGAATGGAGGGAGTACTATGTATGGATTTATGAGTTGTGTGCTGTCTACTATATGGATGTAATAACGTGGAACGATGGATTAATTTGCTTCCTATATACAGTACTATATATGATTTGTAACACTTTGGAATGGTGATCACTGAGTTTGTTCCTTTCCTGTGGTTTGTAGCATCGTTCACCAAAGTATCTGATTTGATTGCTAGGAATCAGGGGCTACATAGCATGGTATGGTATGAGGAACTTACCAGATTGGCCAAAGCTAATCGCGGGACTTGCTCCTGTCACTGACTCTTCCATTCATTTTCAGTAGTCACATTTGTATTTCTCCTAGTTGGGCATTCAAGGGAAGTGCTCTGCACACGCCGGCCTGTCCTCTGTTCTGAATACGCTCTGGTTGCAACGATGTTTTTTTGCTGCGCTTAGGCCTGCAAACACGATTGACATCCTTTGGTCAAACATTGCCTTGAAATTTCATTAAAAAGGGAAATAAAATAGTGGACAGTGCCGGAGTCCAAGTTTTGGGCTGCTGCCTTTGGCTAAAAATGTGATTAAGAGAAGGATATGACCTGCAATGTACATGAATACATTGATAGACTAATTGAATCGAAATGTACTTGAAAACAAAAATCTCGCTTTTCCCACAGTTTGAACGTGTTACTTTCATTGTCTGCGGCTCCTTTTGTTTGGCTCCACGGTGATCTTCTCCAGGTGAAAATAGAAAGAAGCTCAAATCAACATCACAAGAACCGAACCAAACACACATATACACATAATCACTTTTGGGTTGAGAAGAGATTGAGCTGCCCTGTCCTCACCCCCAAGCCCCAACTATGGAAACAGTAAACATACAACAAGTACTTTGAACTAGCATGAAAACAAGAACAACATTCACATATGATGACATGCACGTGGAATTCTGTAGATTGACATGCATCAGCCTGTCAGCAAGCTGGACCACATCTGGTGACAACTCCATGCTATCGAAACAGCAACCACTCTGAACTCAGAAAAGCTGATCTGTTGGTGACTCCACTGAATCTGGACAAACAAAAGGACAGAAGTTTAGATACCAGAGAAGAAACTTGGGTCCAACTTGTACACATGTTTGAGATCTTACGACCTATTAAACGAACAAATTATATGCGCTTATGTAGTAGCACTCCCTCCAATCCAAAATAAGTGTCATGGTTTCAGTTGAAATTTCAACGCTTATCTTGGATCGGAGGGAGTATCTCATTGCTATACTGCTGTTAGCTGAATTTGGAATGTGTCACTGCAAAACACTCAGTTCAGTGTGCTTAGCCTTGTAATTTGAAACACATGTTGGAATACATAGCCAAACAGAGGCACGCCAACATAATAAAGGAAACGATTTGTGAAAAACTTGAGTCACGCAGAATTATGGTACATTCATGTTCCAGGAGTTCATATACTACCTAGGCACCTAGCAGTATAAAAAATTCAACTGAAAAAATGAAAGAAACTGGTGTGTATTGGTAGCAAGAACCAACACACTAGGTGCTGTCTGCCATCGATCCCAGTACACAAGGGATTCACGGAAAGGAAACAAATACAAGATTCATCTCGTTGAACTGCTAATGCACAAGCACCTGAAACCACCTCAGGACAGCAAAGTTTTCAGAGTCTTGGTGTGACGTATTACCAGTGAGCTGACTGTTGGCGTGGGGAACTCCTAATTCAAGTATGTAGCTTGTTTAGTACTCCCTCCGTCCCATAATATAAGAGCGTTTTTGACACTAGTGTAGTGTCAAAAACGCTCTTATATTATGGGACGGAGGGAGTAGCTGATAAATCAAATGTACAGCAGTATGTCATACTGAAAGTTTGGCCTGTCATTGCCATTGCAGGCTAGCACATCAGACCATACGAATTTCCCTTTTGTTTTACTTGGAAATAAGAATGATGATGGTGGTGCTAACAGCAGGATTGTTAATATGTTTTCACGACAAAGTATTATTTTCCCTTGCTTTTACGTAACACACCAACCATTTTCTTTTCAGGTTTCTCGGAAAAATAGGCTGTTGTGCCTCCAAGGGAAAGTTTAAGTCAATCATCTCACCCATATGATCTGCCATGACACGAGGAGAACTACCATGACACGAGGATCTAAAAGTGGTCGAGATTGACTGAAATAAACAGGAATTTTGGTTGTCTGTGCAGCGATAAGCACTGCCTTCAGGTTGATTTCAGATAAAACAGCTTGTGAGCATAAGATATTCTTAGTATTTAAAACAGTAAATCAGAATCTTGTTTCTTACCGTACCAAATTATGCAGATTTCTAAATAACATCGCGACATAAAATTAATAACGGTGGTTATGCTTCATACTGTCCGTGGAGGT